TGTTCATGCGACTACAATTCAGACGGGATGTGGCTAGTGAAATATTAACTCAGAGATTACGCAAGACAATACAAAAATCTTTTAACGCTGGAGAACTGCGACTAGTGTTTTTTTTTCGTGCTCGTGAACATCCCGCAGCGTGGCTAAAGAAAGGTTCGATGAAGAATGTGAACAGCTCGATATTGGCTTATTTAGTACAAACTGCTCATAGTGCCATTATAAACCAATCTTGACCAATTATTTATAAAGTCATTAATTTTTGCTAAAACTTGTCAGACTTTAGGCCTTTAAATGGCTGGAGCAGTAGTCATCCGGATGAAGAAACTGTAGCTATGCGTATAGAATAAATATCTCCAACCACTCCTTCTCCTTTGGCCAACATCAAGGCCAATTAATCAATAGTAATCTTAGCTATTGAATGAGTTAAGTTGACTATTATACGTACGACTTTTCATAGTCAAATGAAATTGTCCCTGTTATCTTTATTCATAAATCCTTGGATTATTATATTATTATTATTATTACTCTTATTTATCTCCCGTATACATTATTCATTCACTTCTCATTCTTCCCTCCTTATTACTTCTTACTAATTTGATCGGATTGTAATTGCACTATCATTTCCCGCTCACCCTATATGACCCAAATTCATTCAGACCATGGATCTGAAATTTCACTTAACATTCCATATGATATCATTATATGCGAAAATTATATTTGAAATATTCTTAGCGATTGAAATACAAATAATTCCATCGTTTCGTCCAGCTACGTTGTCTGGAATTCTTCAGGGTAATAATCAAAATCAAAATTATCCATATGATATTCTGGTTGACATTACGTGGACGGCAATTACTATTCCATACCACTCATTACGAAAAATTTGTAGGGTGTGAGAGAATAATTTGGCGATCGTTGATCGGACACGCTTGTTTTGCAAGTGTGTACTGAAGTGATAGTGAACCAAAATTTTGTCACTTTTAATAATTTTGCGATTGGTCGTAAACTGTTTATCTTTGCAATCTGATTAGTTCAAATCGAAATAGCATGAAGTGCTTTGACTGGGTGTCGTGATTTACATCTCAGGGAATTGCACTCGTGAGTGTGATGCACATTCCCATGTACAACAGTCCAGTAGCCGTCTATTATCTTTTAAAATATGAAGGCCGGACATTGAGTGTTCATGGAAGCCCTTCGTGAAAAAAATTGTAATAACGTTAATCAAATTACCTCCTCCGTCTAATCCGCTGTGACGAACCGCTAGATCTTATACGGCCATTTCTCCAACACACGAATTTAATATACGAATTTTCATCTCTGCCCAAATGCGAATCTCTCACTACATAATGACAGTAAGTCGATCTTTCATAATTTGTGATAGCGGACGTTAACGCTTCAAGCGATGGGAACGCAACGAGAATCAATGTTGTAAAAAGACCTTCTCCGTTTCTGTTACGTGAGAAACAACAGCGCTTGCACTCGGCACGTTACTCTCCTCAATAATGATCATTAAAATGTACTTAGTCGACAATTAAAACGAAGTTTAAAACTAGTCATTTCATTGGACGAAACGGGATGAAAAATATTGTAATTTTGGGGGTTGAAACATTTTTTTAATGGGTTGCGGAGAATTAAAATAAGTTTTTTTACAAAAATTGCCGGGCGGATAATGAAAACCTATATTCTGATTGAAAGTAATTGTTCGCTTACATATGTTGTTTTAACAATTTTATAGTATTTTGTTTAACACAATCCTAAATCCACATGCATTAAACTATGTACTTTGCCCTTAACCTGGCCATTTTTCGAATTATTAATTTGCATATATAATTGTATAACTCGATGAGAATTTAACGAAAAAAATTTTTGTTCAAATACTTGTAATACATTTTCATGGTTCATAAACTTTAGGCATCATACATTGAACACTGCTGTGATAATAGATGAAAACTTAAATATCAATTTAATATTATTATTATTGATAAATTGATGATTAAATTGTATGAAAATAGCAGCAAAATTGAAATTAACAACAGCTAATTCCCAAAATACAATTCAACGGGGATGTGACCTGAGTTGGCATCCTCAATGTACATTTACAAATTCAGCTGCTCCTATTCAGATAGATATATCAGGAGTACTACCAGGCAACTTAATCAACGAATGAGTGAACATCTACCAGCGTGGTTCATAAAAGGCCAGATAACAACAATTCGCACTTCTATCTTGGCATATCTCATTGATAGCTGTCATGCTGTAGATAAATCGAAATCATTTCGAGTGATCTACCGTATACCTCCATCATTTCCCAGCGGAGTTAGTTCCCGCCTCCTACATATAGCTGAAGCCATAGGAATTCGTACATATAACCCCAGTTTATGTGTATAGGAGAAATTTGTAACCCTATCCCTCCCATGGCCAGTTATAACTTAACTAACGATTTTATTTTGTTTACTTATTTTTACTTATTATTATTTATTTATTTTATTCTACTTTTGTTATCATTAGCCTTATTTCTACATCCATTATTTGTTTGTAATTTTCCGCCTCTTGCCGTTTGTATACTTCACTATCTAATTATTTACACACTTCTTATTACGTAATGACTTGAATGTTTTGTGTTAAGTATTCCAAGTCTATTTACCCACGTTTGACCTTCTATTTCCAATGTTTAACTATTGATAAGACTTTTGTTATCGTATTTTATTATTCTTACTACTATCAGTACACTTGTCTTCTTACTATCAGCTTGTACTTTCATCTATTATATGTGGTGAATTATTATACTTTATTGTGATTATTGACCCATATTGCCTTGATTAGTTTAACATTTTCGTATAAATATTCATGTATATTAGAGTAAAGCCTGATGAAAACAACTGTTCGCTTATTTGTGTTGTTCTAATTCCTAATTCACACGCTTGACTTCAATGTGATTTATAAGTCGGAGTGATAACATGGTGAACATTATACGTCAGACCTAAGTCTGTTTATTCATACTTAGTGCTATCTGTATTTTAATTGCTTGCGTAAACTTGCTGTTATTGAAACATGGAGTTATTTAGGTTCGATATTAAAATATCTAAATATTGAGAATAAGTAAAGAGTATTTATTACTATTTGATCAAAGTACACGAGAGAGGAATAAAATCATTTTTAAATTATTTCTAACTGCATTGACGAAATCTTTGAACATCACTACGCGTGATGTCATTGGGTGGGCAATAATGAATTCATGAACTATTACATTTTTTTACTGAAGATATTTAAAACGTTTGTATTTAAAAATTAAAATTACAAAAATTTAGGATTAAAAAACTGGTTATATATATATATATAATGAGGAACAATCAACTGCTTTATAACTTTTGCCAAGCCCGGTAACTTACTAATACGATAGATACACAGTTAACATTTTTGATATAATTATACACTGGTCAAGGGTATAGAATTGTGAATAACCATGGTTAAGAATAGGTTTTCGAATTGTTGAAAATTTTTGAAGCTATTTTCACTCGCTACCATAACTACATTTAATGGTTGGCCGTCAACCAACTATTTTCGTACTAACTGTTTTTAGTCACGTATAGTTAAGCTTCCTTCGATATGACTTTTTTTCATAGACAATTTATTATCGTAAACCATCTTAATGTTGATGACTTCATCACACTACGAAACAATTCTTCAGTTCATTCCAGACTGTGATACTCGAGAAGAAATATTTCGATAATCGTTGAAATATTTTTTCAGTAACATAAAGCACTTCTACTTTGTTAAACATTAATATCTGCAAACATTAACTCGAAATAAATGTTCTTTGACTCTTTTTCTTTAAATCTTATTCGTTCACAAATGTGCATGTTGTTGCTTAATCACCCAAGTTAAACTAACTATAAATTTAGCTTAAATTGAATATACCGTTCACATTTTCTTAGTACAGTGACTTATTCACGAACTTTTAACACATAAGATTCTTTTTTAATTTGAATGATACATTAAAATAATTCCTCAAAACCGTTAAACAAAATAATTTATTATTTGTGTATTTCTAAGTTTATTAGTCTCCATGTACAATCATCACAATTATAATTTGAAATCTGCGTCTATAAACAAGAGGATTTTCATTATAGTGAAGGAATACTTATCAATTTTTCTAGTTTATTTTAGATGACAAACATATTCTCTCTACTTTCATAGAAATTATATACACTTACCTTTTAGCCATTTTCTATTATCACGATAATTAACTATTTGAGTTGACTAAACGGAACAAGTTAATTTCCGTTTCTACGTGGTCTGTAATAACATTGATGCCTCTCTTCGTCTTAACAACTAGTTGAATGATAAAGCGTTTGAACGGAACTGATGTAACTTTTTAAAGCTACAATCTTGTATTTCATAACAGCAAAGCAGTTTGGAAAATTGTTTCTAAAAAAATTCAAATGTAAAGTAGAAAATTTCAACATCTAACTTACATTAGATAGATTTAAACTAATCACATTAGAACAATGAACAAATGACAACCAATGAACGAATTTATACAGACAACAAAAGTGTATTCTTATTTACTTGAGCACAAATTTTTAAATATAAATTAACCAATCATAACTCTAAATTTAGATCAATAGGGGTCAGACGTCATACTAGCCTGACAATAATGTCAACCTAATTCCTGAAATTCCAGCGACCAGTGCATAATCCCGTTTCATTAGAACATATTTCCTTCAATTAGGATTTGGGGGTAGAGTATTTGTGGACTTTTACTTTCCTTGCCCACTTGATTTTGAAGTTAGGTTCATTTGACATTATTACTATCCAATACGAAAAAAATGTACATAAGTCAGTTTTCTGATTGGTGAATAATTTCGTCTTTCAATTCGTCACCCGAAAGTATAAGATATGCACTGTTTTGATCATCGATATGATTATTTCAGTATACATTTCATGATGTTAAGTGAATAGTTGAAAGATTAATAAATCATCCGTCTAACAATCCCAACATGGCTATAACTTCTAACAGCCTAACAAGTAATAATGCGTTACTTATTACTTCTAGTGGTAAAAGAACAGGACGTTATCCAGATATGAACAGTACAGTGGAACAAAGGAGAGCGGCAAATGCTAGAGAAAGATCTAGAATGAGTGTTGTATCTAGTGCATTTATTGAACTAAGAAGGTCATTACCATGGGTTCAAAAAGATACGAAACTTTCCAAGTTAGATACATTAAAACTTGCTGCTGCCTATATCTTGTATTTAAGACATGAATTGAGCATCTCGAAATCACACTTATTAACATCAAGATCATACACTGGGACGACAGTCGAATCAGGACTTTTAAGAACAGAAACTTCATTAAAACTACAATCACATCATTCAAATTTTAAATTTAATTCAAATTTACTCGATAACACACTACCGGATAAAACTAACACATTCAGTTTTCTTACGAATAATAGTTGTTTTAAAAAATGCTACACAGAGGATTATCCAAAGTATAGCTGTGAAACTATAAGTCAACAAGAAGACGAATTTCTACTAAATCTTCAACATAATCACCATCAACATACTCTTAGCCAAAAAACTGATCAGCAACATTCTTGGTCAGATCAGTGTATAATCAGTCCTTACCAACACTGTATTTCTTGTTCAATGAATCAAATGTATCATCATCCTCCACCTCCTCACCATTCGTATGCTCTGAATTCTGTCAATCATCGAAACTTCAACTCATTATCAATATCGTCATTACAATCACTAAATACAACACAGACCATCACGGATATAGAATATCTCATTATTAAGCCAACTAATGAACCTTGTAATAATGATCATAATGATATTTATCATATGAAATGTATGGACAACGACAGTTTAAGTATGAGAAACAATCCTTCCGTTATCTATTCTGAATTCTATCCACATCAAAATGAATGTAATACATCATTATCCTAATATTTAAATAACATTTATGTAAGTTCTGTAATATACTAATTACGTTTAGCCTATTTCACATGGTGATATTATGTCGATTTTTATAAATATTAGGCACTTAGATTCACCTATGAAGTTTTTAAAAATGTTCACAATGTATTTTACATTGAAATTCATTACAATAATAATAATATTTACTTAAATTGTATTTAGTAATTGTTAGGACTAGTGAAAATTAACTTGAATGATTGTTCGCACCGATTAAAAGGTTGTTAATTTGCTATTCACCAGACTTTACCCTAGCTTTTTTCTGCAAAACTGTTAGATGATCTTTTTGTTAACACAACTAAATCTCTTATTTTTCACATGAATAGATTGTTTATACCATCAGGCATATTTTTCGTGCCTTAAGGTAACCCTCGTGCTATTGATAGAAGAAACCAGAGAAGTAGTGAATAGGTCTTTATTTCGATCTTCGCGCAGTCACAGTGGAGCGTGGGATTATCTGTTCAGACAAACAAAGGCTCTCAACATTCAAGATAATAGGGAATATAACGCTTACGAAAAATAAGGAAGTGAATGAATACTTGAACAATACTGTTTTGGTATAAGCTTGGTTGTTTGGGGTCAACTCTTAACCAACCAACCTGAGCTGTAACATTAGCTTCCCCCTAGAATCGACTTCCGTAGGAACGTCGGTTCGATTAACCTATCTATCGAAAACACCTTAGTTCTATTTCTCATCCCAAGGGAAAATTATCAACTCGCTCACTATTTGACTTACAATCAGTGACGACTAACGCTGTCAACGATAGTCCATGGATGTCTCCTCATTTACTAGCTTGTCATCTTATTTTGTAGCATGTGATCTATTCTACAACTATCGCTGACGGTTTACTGCGTGCTTTCAAGAGAAAGAGTGTGAGAATGTGGAATAAGAATATCTGAGGAAGTGCCGCGGGCGGGCTACCCAACACCATGTTGGTGAGGTACGATTTTTCCATGCTCAGACCGGCTATCAGGTGTTTACTCACCTGCCTCTTTAGTCGCCCTCAAGTAAAAAGTAAAGAAGAATCTTTCGTGCCTTGAAGTAACCCTCGTGCTATTGATAGAAGAAACCAGAGAAGTAGTGAATAGGTCTTTATTTCGATCTCAGCGCGGTAGCAGTGGAGCGTCGGATTACCTGTTCAGACAAACAAAGGCTCTCAACATTCAATATAAGATAATAGGGAATATAACGCTTATACAAAACAAGGAAGTGAATGAATACTTGAACAGTACTGTTTTGGCATATGCTTGGTTGTTTGGGGTCAACTCTTAACCAACCAACCTAGGCTGTTACATTAGCTTCCCCCTAGAATCGACTTCCGTAGGAACGTCGGTTCGATTAACCTAACTTTCGAAAACACCTTAGTTCTATTTCT